TCCATGTGGTGCGCATCACATTGCTAAAGAGAAGAACTGAAAGTCTGGGCATAAGACTAGTTGAACAATAGACCGCGGAACGAACCGGATAGCAGCGTGACACGTTTATGGATTGTCCAAACACTGGGTTCGTGGATTCAGATTTCCTTAGGTTTAAGGATGTTTCTTGGTGTAATTTTTCAAGTGGCAGATTCATAGTTGATGGAGTCCTGCAGTGTCTAAACAAAATACTGCCTCAGAGTGGATTCTGAATTCAAGCCGACCAAAAGGCCTAATTTGACTTAAGTATATGAATAATTAGATAAAAGTTAGACTAGATGAATCTGAACTGGGAAAATGAGCACTTGACTTCATCTTTCCTTATGCTCTTCTCGTGGAAAAGTTTAAAGATATCCCGGAACTTTCCTCACAAATTTGAGAGAAATTTCAAAACTACAAGAAAATAGGTGGTATGGCTGAGATTTGAACCGAATACTACCCAGAAGGAAGCAATATTGGTCCACTAACCACTACGCTTAGTACCTCATTTTATATATTGCATAGGCAAGAACAAGGTAAAGCCTAAAAATCATGGAAACCGAAGACTCAACACCGAAAGTTTAGCCTGTGCAAGAGAGCTGAATCCAATCTGCATCCTCACTACAAGTTATCCTGGAGCTGATGATGTCCTTTGTTGCTAAGGAAACAATGTACCAGTGTTGCCAAAGTTTAAGACCTTAAGAGTTGTTGCACCTGGTACAAATCAATACCTCTTTCATGTTTGTCAGTAAATAGAGAGTTATGTATTAAAAGCAATTTGTGCAATTTTGAGTCATTAATCTCCCCGTACGTCGTTGCAGCTGACTGACACAAAGTGGCTGTTACTTAAATCCGTTATCGAATGCTGTAATTTCAGCAACCCCATTAATCTTCCATGTTGTAAAGTAAAGAAGGATTTGGTGCAAAAATGGTACAACTTCATTCACTAACACACACATACATATAATTTTGGGAAATAACGAATAGAAAAGTGATTAATATATGCAAACATCTTTCTGAAATCTCGTTCACAGATATGATTTATGCTACTGTAATGTGACAACCTGTGACGTGAATTGAGAACAAAACAAAAATAGAACAACAACAAAGAAGCACAGTTACCTACGCACATTTTGCACGATGGCCCAACTCAATAGTTGTTATGTTGTTTCGAACCTGAAGACGTAACTACATGCCGCCTGGAAATACATTTCCCTGTCACGGCATACTACTGCAGTAAATGCGAACTGCATTTTCCGATTTCCCTGAGAATATTTATTCGTTTTAGAAGAGTCACTGGAGAAGAACGCGTAATGAAGGACTTTCTCTTCATCAATATTATTTTAAGGTTAGTTCACGAAAGTCAGTAATAGTACATACAACTAGATATATGGTTTTATATACAAAGTCGTTTTCTGTTCGCAACTGCACATATGTGAGACGATTTCTTGCAATAGCTTACTTACTGAAAACTGCAGAAATATTTATCCTCTTGGTGGCGACACAGGTGATTTGAATAGGCCTTTATGGAATGAGTAAAAAGCAAACTTAGTAGAGACATTCTCTAGGGAAATACACAGCTTTAAATGTGAGTAATTTTTTTCGATTTCTCAAAGAAGGGTTCTGTAAATTGACGAAGTGCGATACCCGCGTGTCTACCGATAAGCAAGAGACTAAAAGTATACCCAAGGAAATAAATATTTCGCTCAAATATGTGTGGACCTAATTGGACTTCGTCTTCATTTATTTCAGATAAAGTCGATAGTTGCAATGACAGTGCATAGCAGTAGGGTCTAATATGAAAATGAGTAAGTATCTGGCAGGACTGTCTTTGTGGTCTAGCGGTCAGAGTTCCTGGCTACAGATCCAGAGGTTCCGGGTTCGATTTCAGACGCTATCAGATTTTCTGAGAAGCAGTCAGTCTGGAACGGGGTCCACTCATTCTCGTGAGAATGATTGAGGAGCTACTTGAATAGAAAAGCAGCGGTTCCGGTCTATAAAATCGAAATTAATGGCCGTGGGGATCCGTTGCGCTGACCACGCGACACCCTCTACCCGCTAAAGCTGGCATTAACTTCGCTGACAAGCGGCGGTCACCCGGTCGGTATAGTTCGCGTGCGGATTAAAGACACGGAGTTTGTTTTTTATAAGCAGACGGCATTCGGAATTACTTAGTATTTTTACTTCGGACATTTTAAACCCCCTTGACGATAGACAAAGTATAAAACCCAGTAATTCGAACGAAAATGTAAACTTACAATTTTTATATCCCCTCAATTATATTTTGCAGCGAACAATATTTTACATAAATTTGTAAATGTGCTCCCTTTGCCTATTAATTCTGGACGATTAGATGTTTTTTTAAACTGCTAAGTTGGATTTGAGTTCTATGTAAAATTTGCGTCACACAGGATCGGCAAGAAAAAATCAATATTAATAAAAACAATAAAAAAAATAATTTCGGTCTAGAAAACCGAGGTTAACGCCCGTGGGGATCCGTTGCGCTTATCACGTGGCACCCTCTATCCGTAACTTCACCGATAAACGGCGGTTGCTCGATCGATATAGTTCGCTGGCGGACTACAGGCTAAGGATTTTGTTTCTTAATAATAATAATAATAATAATAATAACTAATAAGACATATCGTAGAGCACACTTTTCTTTTATTTATATTTGTAACGATGTTCGGTTCTACAAGTGTACATACTATATTTATATATATCACTCCACCTTTAACGGGAAATGACAGCATTGGTTTACAAAACAAGTGATTTATATGCTTTCATGTGACACTTAAACACGATATTTGTAAACTGTGGGGAAAGGAATTAATTCCAGCATACTGCGACAGACAGCTATCCATTGTGCTTAAAGAAGAAGAAAAAATGGAATATATTAAATGCCACGACAGGAACCTCACTTGTTCAGGTAATAATTTGTGAATCACGTAGTGGGTTTATGAAAAGTTACGCCTGAACTCAGGCAAGCGAGCACCCTAAACACAAGGAAAGAAAGGAACCTATAACAAAAGGAAGCACAGTGAAAGAAAGGAATTCTGTTTGAGAATGTAGTGCTACAAGTGTCATTTTATAAAACAATGAACATTATGATCCTTATTTTCCACAAGAAATGCAGTAAGTTGGAAATCTCGTAACAGAACAGCCCAACTATAGGCGGCGGCGACCCTGCCTTGCGCGAGCTCCAGGTCCCAATGTCCCCTAGTAGGGGTTCCCTCCCAGGGTTACGTGGGTAGCAGACACGACTCCTTAGTCACGATAGGTAATCTAAGTGAAGGTAAAAGTGTCCCTGTGCTTAATTAATTAAACGCTACCCCATGAAGGCGTATGGAGGAGTGGTTGTGTAGATCCAAATTTTCTTGATCTCGGCACTGGTTGTAGGTAAGTGGTCAGCTTGATGCCCCTGCTGCCTTGTGAAGGTAACCCAAAATAAAACCCCTGGTTTTCCAAGATGGGGATTTTGGAACACGCTGATAACCTGTTCAAGTTGAAAGGAGTTACTCATGACCTTCAAAGTAGCTTCATGTTTCAGGACGGAAAGAGATAACAAGTTCACCTCTTGCAGTTAATTATCACGACATTCCATGGCATGCAGCATACAGCTTTCAGGAAATATCACCCCAACATGAGGACACTGCTATCCAGCTGACACCCCTGTCGCTTCTCATGTTGATTGGCATCACTGTAATTACAGCGCTACTCCGGTGACAACCACGGTAAGAAATATGATAAGAACTTCAAGACGTGTGCCCAGGGATGGGAGCGTCCAACTTCTGTACACAGTGTTCACTACAACAGACCTGTGTTTTCCAGTTTATGAAAAATAACATACACGTATATTGGGAGTGTGTAATACAGTGACACTTGTATAGCTCCCGTGTTGTACTCTGAATAAGTGAAGACTATTGAAAATAGAGTGAACAGATTATTGTGCAGGGTTTATAAATTGTGTAAACCCGCAACTGTGTTATAATCAATTGTAGCTACGACTTGTAGGTTGTTAAACAAACCAATTAACAATCTGAACGGCGTCTTCAGTAGCAAAACACGTTACAGTATATATGCATGTATGTTTGTATGTGTATATATACATATGCATGTATGAAAGTGTGTATGTAAGTATGTATGTGTGGTTGGACGGGTCTTATTCACATTCGGTATTCATGACTTTCTTCGTCGTAGGTCGGTAATTAGTGAATATGAATATTCTAGATCCAATAGGGTCCCTCCGCATGGGCTTTTAGAGGCATAATTGCCATTCTAACGCAAAGAGCTGTTACAATTTTGTTTAAATTTCCCGTAGCTGATCTCACTAAATAGAGCTTCATAGTTGTCACCTCTAGCGGCCCAAACGCGAGACTTCAATATTCTACAACAATCTGATTACACTTTAATCATCTACAGAGATGATGAACTGAAGCAAGCATCCGCAACACAATGGGATTCCAGAAACGGGTCCGTGAACGGAGATCAATCACAAGATATTATGCCCCCAAAACGACTCCAATGATTGTGATTAAAATAAACAGATTTTAGTATTGATAGTAGGAGCCGGGATACCAACTAGTTACGGGCTGGAGGACAGAGGGGTCGGCGTTCCAGTCCCGGTAGGATCAAGAATTTTCTGTTTTCCACGTCGTCCAGACCGGTTCTGGGGTCCACCCAGCCTTCTATCTAATGGGTACCAGGGTCTCTTTTTCCCGAGGTAAAGCGGCCGAGACGTGAAGCTTGCCACTCACCTCCAGCTAGTGCCGAGTTCAAGAAAATATAAATCTATACATCCACTCCCCTACACCCTCATGGCGTAGTGCCTAATTAGTTAAGTCTAGGGAATCAAATTCCCTTGAATTTACCTTCGATTAAACAGCGCTAAATGCCTTGTTGTACCTACTTCTTAACTAGCAGTTTAAAGAGTCACGTCACTCGTTGAGAAACCGCAATTAATATCCATGATTCATCAGTACCTGTAAACCACGGTGAGCAATTAGCTGCCTCTTTATGTGGCTCCATCCTTGTCTTGAACCACTGCGAACAGCGAAACTTACGAGACTGGCGGCAGACGGGCGGCGGGACGCACTGGTTGGTGCTGACACCTTGTGTGTATATCCACAAATAACTTGGATACTTCAACTTGTGCCAAGTTCAACAACTGAACATTAAAGAATTCGAATTTTATGATGGATTTGTGATCAAAATTTGAAAGTTCACTCGACACCGACCTTTTAATACAGGCGACATCGTATTGCCAAATCCACAGGACTACACAAAGGCTGTCAGCGAGATGAACAGAATGACCACTTCACGAACTCTAAGTGGGTAATGACTTGTCTATTTCGAGGGATATTTTGTCATTTTATTGGAGTGACTGCGGAAAATATAACTGAATATAGCCGGTATACGGACAGAGATTCGAATACTACAGGAACAAAAGCCTAGTTTTACAGCGACATCAATTTACTAAGTGTTTTCTCATGAAATTGCACTTATACTGCTAAAATCAGGGATGGAAAGCACAAGCATTTAACATGAGATCGTTATTCTGAGAGCAAACCTTTTAGTTTTCTTAAAATCCAGGTCATCAACCCCCCGCCCCGAAAATGTAATCTATCAATCTACGAAGTATTATAGCAAAGTTAACCGCGGCGAAGGTGGGGCACTCAGTAGCGCAGCTGGTTGAGGCACTACGCTACAAGCCGGAAGGTGCGGGTTTTGTTCCTGATGAGGTCAGTGGATTTTTTTTTTCGATTTACATAACCCTTCAAGCCGCACTATGGCCCTGAGGTCGACTCAGCCTCTAACAGAAATGAGTACCAGGAATCTTCCTGTGGGATAAAGGGCGGCCGGCGCGTAAGGCAAACAACCTTACCGCCATCTATGAGCCAATCTTCAAGAGAAAATGTTGGATCCTCGACTTCTCACAACCCTACGAGCCTCCACGGCATGTTACAGGGATATATTTACCTTTATCCGCGGCGAATACACCAAAATATAAATTATAATAAATAATAACAAATAATAAGTGTTCTCTAGGACGCGATGCTCTGTAGTGTGGTAAATATTTACTTAATATTTACCTGATCACAAATGTCAAATTCCAAAATATGCTCTTCATAGTGACAGCTGCTGGAAACTAGAATCTCAAATGATCACCACTATAGCTGTACAGCACTTCACACAATGGCCGCTGTTTCTTAATCCTACACACAGTCGGCAGAACTCCTTGGACGGGGATCAGCCCGCCGAAAGGCCGCTACCTACACAGAGGACAACACAAACACAGAATACATGCACACAGACATCCGTACCTCGAGTTGGGTTCGAATCCTCGACCCTAGTGTTCGAGCGGGAGAAAACGGTTCATGCCTTAGGCCTAGCGGCCACTGTGTTCCGTATTACGTAATCACAGCACACAAAATTCCATACAAAACAAGGATATATTGAACGTGTGGTATGAACAGACGAAAATGTGGCTGTAAATGAATGCCCCTGCGAAGAGATCGTCAAAAACGGATACAATTGCCGGCTTCTTGAGCAACGAGACGCCATCACGGGCGCCATGCAAAGTGGATGTAATAAAAAGAATGTGTTCCGGAAAGGGAAGCTTCATGCGGAGGGGAGTCAAGTCAACCTGACAGCACTTAAATCATTATTTTCCCCTACCGGTATGGTAGAAGCATGTCCACTGCTGTGAAACTGCGCATAAACCTTCTGTAAAACTCCAAACCTAACCTGAAAAAGAAAACCCATCATGTACCGATGGAACCGTCCCTATCCTACGTTCCGTGATGTAGCCCTAGCAAATAAAGGTGTATCAGCTCAGCTCGTGTTCGTTCTCTCATGATCTCCAGTTTAGTGTTTCACGATCATCGAAAAAATGAATATCGGTAGCTCAATACTTAGGTCAAGGTAGCCGAGCGGTCTAAGGCATGTACTGTCTTCGCTCGCTTGGAAACCGGGATCGTGGGTTCGAATCCCACTGAGGGCATGGATGTTTAGTTTGTGTGTGTGCGTTTTTCTGTGTTTGTGTACAGGTAGAGGCCTTGCGACGAACTGATCACCCGCCCAAGGAGTCCTACCGAATGTGTAAGATCTAGAAAAACCGAAGTGAACGGAGAAGTTCATGGAGGTAGGCCTAGGCCCACTGGGGCTGTAGTGCCAAGGAAAAAAATACTTATTTTGCATTAATTTGTGCGTGCATTTGTAGAATCCTTTTCTAAAATGTGTGGAACCACTTATATTCAGCATATCTATCTGTCTGTCCGCAAGAAACAACTGCGATTTGAAATTTGACGAAATTTGGCACATATGCGTATTAAAATTTGTTGAACAAATGAGACTCTACCCACATCTTTTCCATCAAGATGCATCCTGTTGTATGTCATATATAGGATATATGATATACAGAGTAAGGACAGTATACATAACATTATTTCTGAAAGAACAACAAAATAGACACTAATCCTAAAAAAAATGTTGACGCGTTATTGCCTATTTTGTTGTATATAGCATATATCCTATAGCTCTGCTATTGCCTATTTCATCTCCTGTCTCAATCTGCAATAAACATGATCATGACAGTGCTGTTTCTAGCCATATTCATCTGTTACTCTTACCAACATAATCAACTTGACTCAGCAGGCCCGTGTAGTGGCAACGCTCGAAGCATGTACGGGTATTCGGAAACCACCTGCTTTGAATGTCGGTCGGGGTACCAAGTGAAGATTCCTCGAGCTTTCCAAAGACTTTTCAGGATATACGTAATTCCGGAATCCTGCAAAGAACTGAGAGCCTATTCAACTGTACCTCAATTTGATACAGTATCGTTGAATAGCCCATATGCCCACTTAATCACAGGGACAGACGTGACATGGTGTGGTATCATGCCCATTAGTGACGTCCTATATGGTTTTCGATGCAATCTGAATTTGTGCAACATATCTGAGGAAGCAACCGCTTCGCCTCCTTCAGTATGTTTCTGTACATGACTTGTAATTCATGTTATCCGTAAGTCAAGAGCACGTATGTTAATGAAATGTTAGGGAATATTCCGTGGTTTTGTGTTTGCCGGGCTGCTGGCTAGAAGTCCGGCTGCATCGGGCGATCCTGCGACCAGCCTTTCGACACAGGTTTTACTGGTTTTCCTCTGTCTTTACTCAAATTCCGAGTTCAGATTTGCTACTGCGTACATCCTATGCTAAGCCCTTTCACTTAAATTCATGATTATGAAGGTCTATTTTTCCCAAAACCACTAAAATTGTTTTTCATTAACTCAGAAAATCAAAACGCCGTGGTCACTGTCGCTAACTTTCGCTCTATTCTTATCAGAGAGACGAGCGGGAGAATTCTGGGTATCTGGAATGCTCCTTCTCTCTCCCCACAATAAGTCGTCTCTCACTTTTCCCGGAACTTTTCGTTTTCACATTTTCTTCTATTATCCTTTCTACCTCTTTCCCTCTCTTCCCCACCTTGCGCATACGGGATCTGGGTCCTCCCGGCTTCCTACACCATGCGTGCTGGTGGTTCTTTCTCTTGGGATAAAGCGAGTGAAGAGTGAAGCTGATCGTTCACTACCATTTAATGCCTAGATTTACCTCCACTCCCTCATACATCTGTATGCCATAGGCAATATTAGCGTTTACGTAGAGATGGGAAACATTCTCACGAGAAGTGGCAATCCAATTTGCACTAAAATTACTTTTGGTTTGAACTCAGAACACCAGATTCAGTTAAGTCAGAGGGAGAGAATACGAGATTGTGTAGAGCACTAATGCAACTAAACTGAATTGAGTTCTGCCCTTCAAAGCGATATGAAGTGGATATTGGAGGACCTCCGAGAGGCACCCCTGCGATGTGGTTCACACACGTCATTACTTTACAGTCAGCAGACAGGCCCCTGTTTGCAATGCAATAACCTCCCCCCCCCGCCTCACAGTTGGGTTCCAGTGCACAACTGAGGAAGGAGAATGAATGTGCAGACTTATCAGAGCGGACGTTGCATGAGACAACTGATATTATAACTACAACTAGGCCAATGTCCGGCGCCGACGCTGTTTACTCGTGGTCTCAATACTGGAACTGTCGTGAAATGGGGAAATATGCATGGCGCATGGATCAAGCTACTAAAGTAAACATGTCATGAAGAGCATAAAATTATATTTCGTATCACTGTAAAAAAATTCTAGCGGCATTTTTAGTTTCATTGTAGCTGCAATGAAACTTCTTCAAGAGGACCACCGAGCGTTCAGCCCATAAGTAGTCCTTTGAGGGGCGCTCTCTAAATAGAGGGGGTGGGTTTGAATTCGGGTGGTATAGTACAGTAAGCACCATATACATGCATGTATTACGTAACGACTGTATTGTACGAATTTATTTTTCTTAATATTACTTTACATGAATAACAAATTCAATAGGTACATTAGTCAAGTAAATAGATCAAATCATATATGGATATGTACATAAGTAAACATATAGTACAAACATTATTTTGCTGGTCTATTGGCTTTAAAATAATATTAACGCAATTTGAGTTACGGTTTCAAAAATATAATTTTGTACAATTATGTTCTCATCTTATCCCGCAAGTCATTAAAAAACGTTACTTAACAAATCGGTTGAAGCATTTTTAAGGGAGTTTGGTATTGACCAAGCACTGCGACGGGCTGGGGGTAGGTAGGGGCGTTCAATGAATAAGGGATGATTTCACAAAAATGGCCTAATTCGCAATTCGTGCTGTACAGTCTTTTTAAAGGAATGACGTTTTAGAGAAGTTTCGCTGTATATTACATGGCATATCATCCGTTGTATTAAGTATATCTCAGACACTGGATAACGCAAGACATAACAAGGATAACCAGTGGCCTACCGTCACCAACTTTCAGTGAACACAGTCCGTGGGTTAGCAAGTAATAGGACTAAACTGCTTCACAGACTTAGATCTAACCCGGCATTACAACGCATTTTTTCAAACTGTTTTAAAATTTGGTTCATACTGTCACATGTCACAGTGACTCAAGACGGGACTCTGATTGGTAACTGGA